CATACAATGGATCTCTCATCCCTTCAGGTCATCCATCTCCCAAGGCTCTCAAGCTACTAGTTCCTTCTTTGAGTCATTTGTCTTCTTTGCATTGTGAGTCGTGTCAATGTGTGAAACACCACCGGTTTTCCTTTAGCCCTAGGGTTGATAGTCATATGTTGTGTCCTTTTGCTTTAGTCCATTAAGATGTTTGAAGTCCGATTAGAATTGAGTCATGTAATGGTTACAAGTATTTTGTCATTTTTGTTGATGACTGTTCAATGATGAAATGGATATATTTAATGAAAGAAATGAGTGAATTATTTTTATTTTTCAAAAGTTCCATGCTGAAATACGTACGCAATTTGGTGTTCCAATAAAAATTGTTCGTTCAGATAATTGCCGAGAATACTTTCTTACTTCCTTTCAACGATATTTGGCACAACACGGCATCATTCATCAAACTTTATGTGCATCCACCCCTTAACAAAATGGGGTGGTTGAACGAAAGAGCCATCATCTTCTTGAGACTGCTCGGTCTCTCCATCATATGAACGTTCCTAAACATTTTTGGAGTGATGCAATGTTTACGGCTTGTTTTCTCATTAATCAAATGCCCTCATTCATCCTTCGTGGTCAGTCTCCCTTTTCTATTTTGTTCCCAACTTTGTCTCCATTTCCATTAACTCTCCGGGTCTTTGGGTGTGTGTGATTTGTTTATAATTTGGGCCCTGGTTTAGACAAGTTGGACACACATTCTATTAAGTGTATCTTCCTTGGCTATTCTCGGACCCAGAAAGGGTATAAGTGTTACAATCCTATCACTTAGAAGTCATTTGTCTACCCTGATGTCACTTTTTTTGAGTTCATGTCGTTCTTCTCAGGTCCTGATGTATCGTCCTCTTCTCCATTGATCCCTCTTCCTCTTTTAGTTGGTGATCCCAGTCCAGTTGTTCCTGTTATGACTAAGCCTTCACCTCCTCTATTGCAGATTCCTACTAAACGACTACCGATTCGGTATGTGTATACTCATCGATAGACACCAGCACCTCCTATGGTTCCTACCTCGTCTACGGATCCTATAGTAGCTCTTATCCCAGAGTTGTCTACCTCTTCTGACCTTGATCTTCCCATTTCATTGCAGAAAAGTAAACGTAGTTGTACCTTATATCCCATATCCAATTATGTTTCTACCTCTCACCTTTCCACTTCACATAGTCAATTTGTTTCTTTGTTGTCCTTTATATCTATACCCAAGGATGTATAGGAGGATCTTACTGAAGGGATGAGAGATCCATCATATGGATGGCCGAACCCTGCAGGAAGGTTGGGCGAAATTTCAAAAATTTCTCTCTCCCCCATCTGGGAATCGCATTCCCTATTTTGGAAAACTGCATTTTCAATGATCAATCTTGAACCAAACCGGACCAGATCTGAAAACAAAAGGGAGAGGGATATACATGATACGAAGTAGCAGTAACTCCTAATGAAGGTGTTCATGCCCAAGGAGAAAACAAAAAACTGCTTCCACTGAAGATGACACATTGTAAGGTGAAGCAGGATCAACAGGACGGCTCTTCAGCAAGAATGGAGTAGAGGGCTAGTGAGCACATGATTTCAGATTGCTTCTTCTACCAAAAAGCAATATCGAGAACAATTCTTGATCACTCCCACAAGTGGAGATCGAACTGGGTAGGGCAGCAAGAATAGGGAAGAAATCTGCAATTTGTTGTGTCTTGTCTGGTGTATTTTGCATGTTCGCCCTGCTCTCTTATTTAGTCTTAAAGAGACAACCTCTTAATCTGATTAGGAGTTTCCTGATCCAAATCTTTATTTGGATCTGGACTCTTTAAGTGATAGGGATAATCCCTTATCTTATCTGTGGTTCAAAATCAACTTAATCCTAATCAAATTA